CTTTCCGTTCTTATTAATCTAAAAAGCGGCTGTACATTCAATGCTTAGGTCATTAAATATTAATTTAAGTATCTTTTGTGAAGTTGGTTGGTCACGTCAATTCTGGAGATGGGCAGGAAACCGCCAGTTTTGTTTAAATCTGGACAAGGGGAATCACAGCAGGTGGGCATTTAATAAATGACGTTTACGGTGCCCTCGAAGTTTTTGAGTAGCTGATTTTTGTACTGTACAAAGTGGCTTACTTTTGAGTTGGTCAAATCCTTAATCCTGACATCAGCCTTTTGGCTTACGAAATATCAGCTAAAATGCTAAACACTACTTATTATTTTGATATTGTTCCTTTAATCAAACTGCTTGTTAAGGACAAAAGTAATTGAGCGTCGAAGTGGCTCAAAGCGCCTTTTAGTTTGTAGAACAAAGCCATGAAATATCTGCCGTAATAGTTAAAGATTGCCTGATGTCTTTTCGCTTGGTCAAATACGTTGTAAACTTTGGAAACCGCAAGTATCAATATCCGTTGATCAAAGAATGACCCTTATGCGTAGATAAGACGGTGGAACAAAGAAACGCGTAAAGACGTATATTGGAATTTTCATACGAGCCACACCGTGTCCGGTAATATAGAATACAGCCGCTCTTAATAATTCTCGCCCCCTCTTGAAAATCCTACAATATTGCACCTTCTTTAACAAATGATGCAACACCCTACGTTTTACTATACAAACATTGATCATCTCTCGAGAGCTTTATTCAGTATTCTATATTTAGTGTGATGATATTAGCTTGTTTCTGTTAGATTTTAAATTTGAAGAAATTAGTTTAATCATAACATGTTCAAAATAGTCGTGAAATATCGTTATCCACCTCAAGGTTAACATCATGCGGCCCAACAGTCACACATTCATTTAACAGATTGTCCCTGATCGACCTTTCACTGATTTTCCTTTTCGAGCGATTCTTCCAAAACCAGCCATCATTTTATAGAATAGTTATTCTCTTTAAAAACACTCACATCAGCCCTAAAACCATGCTTGGTGTTCAGCCAAGACGTTCAGCAAGTCACAATGTTTGTTCAATTTCTTTGCATCATTGTGAAGTAAAATATTTTTTTTATTATTGCGTCAGTTTAATGCACGCAGATTAAGGCCTTTTTTATAGGTGTCACTTAGAGGAGATAAAATTGGAACCTGAATCTAGGATATGTTTACAGGAAAGTAAAGAAGCCTGTTTTTTATGTAGCCAATTCATATCTTGGTTTTGTTAGAAACTGAATTTAATTTTCTAAGTTTTGATTTTCTTTGTACAATTTTCTCTTTTTGTTCTTGTTGTGCTTGCTAACTAAGTTATGCGTCTTCTTCCGGCAATTCATAAAACTGAGTTTTCAATCATAAATGAGATCATTAAGTAGGCCACACAAATGATCTTTATTTTTCCTGTTTTAAACGCAGCCAGGAACAAGATCATGAACTTAGGTTCATGTGGTCCCTGATTCCGCGTAAGAATTCGTTGAGGAAAATTCTCAAGATCACATAATTCTCCTTATCATTATGTATTAGACTGCAAAAGAGTCCCGTATTTTTGCGTATTTAAGTACGCGCGAGCAGTCAAACAAACGTTCTGGAGCTCCTCACACGCCCTATCGCCGTGTGAGGCTCGCGCGCGAAGCTACGTTAAACTATTTTGAGAAAAAACCGACTGTTTTGCAGTCTACATTGTAATCAGAGTTTAATAACAAACATTTGCCTATCGCCAGGTACCTACGGTGGGGTTGCATTCACTATAATCACGGGATTCTTTCAGTGAGATTTAGAATCGATCACCGATCGACACCAGCACGTGAAGTAACAGTGTCTTGTCACAAATTTATAAACGTAAACATAGTTCACTCCAGTACGACTTCGGAATCATCAAGGGAAATCATTAAAAGTCGATTTATCAGAAGCCCAGAACAAATGATGGGCAATCAGAAAATATGGCATAGATAGCAGTGATTTTTATAAATTTGATTTCTGATAAAATGATTCAATCATATCTTCTTTTTACGAAGGTAGGGAACAAACAGAAAGATCACGATTTAATTTTGTAAAACGCAACATTGCGATAATACAAATTTAAAATAAAGTGACATCAACTGAAGGGAAATGAAATTACTTTGAGTTTGTAGGAAGTTTGAGTTAGCGAGGGTTTGAGATTTTAAGGGTAAATTTACTGCAATAATGTGGAGCAAATATGCACAGGTGAATTCGGCAATTTGTATCATTTTAGTTCGTGCGGGCAAGCTTCAACCTACCGAGAGTTCGAGTTACCGGCGTAAACTGCCGCGATTCTTCTGTTCGTTACGCAAAATGTGATTGCAACAGAAGTAAAATATATGTCAAACTTTGCTCCACCAGCTCTTTACTCTTGTTTGCACTAATACTACGATCTATAATATCTCATCAAAAAACGCCGGGCTTCGAGGCGCGTGTTGTTTCAATGAGTTAGCTGATTCATGTTGCTCCCATGAAACTCCCTTTAAATGTTCAAAATTCTAAGCGTTTAAACCTTCGGCTTCATTAGGGTTGAGTTCCAGTGTCGCGTAATTTTTACGTGAGTAAGTGCGTAAAATTTACGTTCGTAAATGAAATGGAGGCCTTACAAGGTTCAACTTTGACGTATACGCGTGACCTTCCATATAATGTTTTATTTACGCGCGTAAAATTTACGTGCGTACACACGGGGAAATTACGCGTCAGTGGAAATCCGCCTACAGTCTACAAAAGTGTCCCCAATTCGATCTGACGCCTGGCTCATCAACCAACCAACTCCTTCTAGCTCGATTGCGTCGCCTCTTTCTGCCCTGTAGAACGCTCTTTGCAGGGGATTTATGCGTAAAAATAGTGACTCAGCTCACGATAAAGTTTATCTGCAGTTCCCTTTCTGTGAGTTTGGCTCTCTGTTATTGTCAGGGAACAAAATTGTTTTGCCAGAGATCCAGTCTTCCTACTTGTTAGAAAACGAAATCGTAAATCACGGTGTTCACGCGACAAATAGAATTTGAGAATTTTGCATCAAGGGGTCTCTTCCAGGTTTAATCCCTTTACAATCAACAAATTAAACCTTTTTCATTTCTTCTAGCCTTTGAGTTTCTACTTTGATGTCACCTGCTTTGCATGAAACTCATCATTAGCTTTCAAGCTTAGTACAATCCTATCACTTCGGTCCTAATTAGGTCTAATTAGCGTTGATCGGCTTTACAAAAGTCGACGGACAGCGATTTTGCAGATTATGTACTGCTTTAGGTGTAAATCCTGGGCACTCTTTTTCTGAGTAAGCGTTGATTCTGTGCCCTTTTCAAAAACCGGAAAACAGCAGTTGTCCAGATTATTGACCTATACACTCATTAGTCGTAGACGGGATTTTCCTGCTTCTTTTCTACTCTTAAGCAAAGGATCGGATCAGGAAATAATACCCTGATCACTGGTTTTCCGCCAGTTAGCATCTCTTTCTTGAATCAAATAACAAGCGGCTAAGGTATGGATGTATTTTCGGACAAAAGCACGTTAGGCCTAACCTCGTTACCAGGGTCCTCTCCTACTCGAGAGCGAGGCTGCGTTAGGCCCATTTACCAGCCATTTTGTGCTCGCGCGTTTTTTCGCGGGACGAGGATGCAACCTGCGGGATCCCCTCAAAAACGCTGGAAATGGCGAGCCTGTAGCACGTGGAGAAAATTACAAACTTCGGAACGTTCACACCTATTACATAACCTTCTTTTCAAAACAATTTTAAGGGCCCTTGACCTCGGCCAACCCTCTCTTGGGCGATCTTTCCAAGCAGAATGACGAGGCTGCGATTTTTCATGCATAACTGCTTCTACGGACGTGATGCAAAAGCTTTACTTAGAAATCGATAGTCCTTACAAAGCCAGCAGAGCATTTAATAAATATGCTCTCAATTTGGCTCCACTTTACAGTCTTTCATATTTAAATTTCAGTTGCTGTGAAGGGATTCACATGCAGTAAGGCATGCACATCGTTCGAGACTCGATGCAGTCAGCACAACTCCGAAACATGCTTCTTTCTTCATTTTCTCCTCGTTCTAGGAAGGCAGCTCCAGCGCGAGTGATGCCAAGGCGATTGTAAACGTAAAAACAAATGACACTGCAAAAATGCAAAAACACAAATGACTGAAAACATTTAAACACAGCTGGCTGATAAAGGTGGATCTTTGTAAAACATGTTGGTTTCATTTTGATAAATAATAAAATTGGGCTCACTGACCGGACTTCAAGCAGGTTTTTGAACTACAACTACTTACACTGGCAGCTCCAAATAACAAGTGATGATCGGATTATGATGTTGCTATAGTAACCTCTGGTATTAAAGAAATAAACAACACTTGTTAAGCAATGATCTTGCATTTGTTTGAAATCTTTATTGAAATATCAAGTGATAAATAATAAAGATACTGGCCCAATATTGGGTACGAACATGCTGAAACTGCTGTTTTCAGCAGGCAGATTTTAACCTTGGCACTTCTGTTCGTCTTTAGAGCTTTCAAATTTCTTGGAGAGAGTTAGTTGTTTAATGTAAATGTCCAGTTAAGTTACTGACACGAATGGAGGGAGGCTATTTTAATGCAGTAAAACTGCCGGTCCTCGCTTTTTCTGATGTCGCTTGTCGGTGGTTTTATACCGCTTATAGTCTACACAAAAAGTGTTTTGTAAAGTTGTTTTGTTCTTTTCTACGTTTTTTGATTTAAGAGACATGTTTGTCTGAGCCCAGCTCTAATTGACTATAAATCAACGGATTTCATCAAGTCTGTCGGGATGACCAACGTGGACCCTTAAAATATGAGCAATAAATCTTGATCAACAGTGATTCAGTCAACTTTTCAACTGTCAGTGAAAATACATGCCTTGAACTGCAGTTTAATTGATTGCAAACATTTTTAAGCGTGGAACTGCCAAGCAACTTTTTTTTTTTCAGCTTATTAGACAGGTTCGCGAGGTGATAACCCTCATGTCTCAACGGTACAATAAAAAGGTAACGAACATTTAATAGTCCATTAGCTGTCAAGAGACCGGCCTAAACTAACTGGAATTTCTAAACTGATATCAAGCCCACAAGTTCGTACTTGTCAACAAGGAAACCTGGTAATTTCATATTGAACTAAAATATTAACCTCGGGGTTTGATATTTTGGGGGTCGATTGGTACACGGGTGCACAAGCGATTTTATGCTATCATATAAGCTCCATATCACCCCCTACTAGATTTGACACAGCTGTGAAAAATGGGATGATTGACTGTTTAGAATTCTATAAAATTCCTTTTCTAAAACTGTTTTGAAGAAGTATTATTCTGGAATTTTAGTTATTTTGGGTTATCAATTAAGTTAATTAGTTTTTAAACTATATGATTAAACTTATTGACGTGTGTTTTCGGGGCCTATACACATAATGTGCGAATCAAATTTTTTCGATGCATTGTTACTTTAAAAAGTAGCGGTGTATTAAAATATCTTTACGTCTGTAAATAGCTGCTGTGCTTCGGATGAGTAAAATTATCGGTTGGAGATCAATATTTCTCATGATAAATTGTGAGTACAGAAGAATGAAACGCCTTGGTCGTCAACACGTGTTCAAAGGAAGCTGATCTAGGAAGACCGTCGACGCATGCGCAAACCTACCGGGCAGAAAAAATGTCGCTTCTGTAAAAGCAATATTTCTAACAGTTTCCCCTTGTTCCTTAATCAACCAAACCCCAAATTTTGTTCCGGAAACAATGCTTACCGGCTACAGTTGTAAACTCGAACAATTTTGACCCCAAATCACTTTGCAATGCCATTCGTTGTTAATCTTATCCGCGAAAAAAAACAGGCCGAAAAATTTGTGTTAACATTGACAATTTGTCACCATTTTCTAAATGATTCTTTTAGGGTTATAGTGGCCAGGAATGTACGAAAAACGAAGCAGGAATTTTTTATATTATTATCAATATTTCTAATCGTTTCCTCAAGCAACACGCCCCAATTAATTTGTTCCGGAATGATAGTCTGCGAAGTAGGTATAGATTTGTTTCCAAATATAATTTGTATATACAAGTTTTTAATGATATGAACTACAAACTACAGTGTATATATTAATCGTGACTTGACAAATTTTCTCCCTCAATTAATTTTTGTCACGGTCCTGAGTAAACAAGAGGATCCCTTAATGAGTGCTTCTAAAGTTTTCCTGCTTCTTAACTCCAACAACTTGACCTCGTGTTGCTCAAACCTCTTGGGCGCTGTTCAGAAACAGACGGGCTTCATGAAAACGAAGTTTGTTAGTTCACGTTCACGCCTGTTGTATTTCTGAAGTTCCGGTCTTCAAACAAGCTCTAGGTAAGCGATCCTACAGAAACGTTTATGAAATTACGGTAATTTTGTCAAGAGAGAATAATCTCCCTCTAGATTGTGTCTTTAGGCATTTTTATTCTCACGATGCTGCGGCTTCGGAAGTTAAGGGTCATTTTATTAGCCTCTCGCTGCTAGTAATCTCCGATGGGACGTGTTTAAGTACACTGAGTGCCATATCAGTTTCCTTGAGCGGGAAATACAATTATTTATAGATTTCCTTATAAACTTGGTTTGAAACCATTAAAATGGCAGTTCCTCTACAAAGAATCGAATTAGAAACACTGACCTCTGTCAACACTGAGGATCACGGACATCCCAGTCTTAGAATAAGAGGAACTTGCGCGGATATCAGGGCTAGACTTTCAGTTGTCAAAGGGTAAACCCGGAAAGAGAATTCTCATCCACGAAAGATACAATCATCGTTGCAGAAATTGCGGAACATTGTTGAAAAAGTGACATTTCTAAATGTTTCCCTTTCAGTCAGGGAAAACAAATATTTCCCCCGGAAGCAAACCTTGTTAACTATCCACACTGAGTCGCTTTTTCGATCTCGGCCTCCGCTCTCCGGGATATACAATTGTTTCTTTGCGTCAATTTTGAGTATTTCTGCGCCTTCAGCCTAACTTGACGTGAAATAATGAAGTCAAGTAATACGTGATTACTAAATAATGAGTTTAATGCTGAATGATCACGACCTCACATTGATTCACCAGTCATTGCCGGAATTCCAGAGGGGTCAGATAGAAACTTTTATTCCCCTCGACATCAGTATAACAAATGCAAGCCGAATGATCGTCAAAACAACACGCAGTGCGTGTTTTATATTTATCCCTTTATCAAGAGTATCAAGAGTATTTCAAGTGCAGAGTTATTTTAAGACCGACATACGTAAATATTCGTAGTTTGGGAATCGAAAGACGTCAAACTGATCACTGTTGAATATTAAACATGCATCGCAGTAGACTCTCAGTCGAAAGTTGACTGTGTTATCCCCGATAGCTGACGTCATTTACCATACAAATGTAGCTTGGAAGCTGAAAAGTTTCTGTGGACGCGACTTAGCCACAGGATAACCAGGCGACATTTATTACTGCCCTGTGGTCATTCGTTTAATTTTGTCTCGTCTTAGGAGGAAGGGCGGGTTTTGAGTCTCCAGAACTTCCTTAAAGCCGGGTATAAAATTTCTGAAGTAAAACTGTGTTATTCAAATTCAATCTACTATTGTATATTTTTGTCTTTATGATATTATACCACTACAACTGAAATGAAATCTGATATTTTTTTCAGTTTTCATCAAAAACAGTACTGTCTCAGTCGAGTTAATTTCACGGTCAATTTGCCAAAGCCTAAATTTTCTCGTTCTTTTATTAAATTTTGCGGCAATTTTTTTTGTCAAATATTAAGTTAGTTCATCTATAAATTCTCAGGAAACCCAGACGGCAATATGAGTGCCGTATCACTCTGCTTCATGATCAATACTCAGAACCAACTCATTGTTACTGATCCAGATGAACAATTCGTTCAGATCCAAAAACGACGTATAGAACGAATGAGCTCTTTATTAATATTCTTATTATTCTTTAGTAATTCAACGAGTAGCTTTTCTTAATGTTGCAATGAGTTCCTTAGTTATTCCAGGTGACAGATGATACCAAACTCGACCGAAAATGGCCGCATCATTCGTGATAGATCGGAGCGCATCGTATTAATTGTTTTTGAGATAACCACGATGATCAGACCGATAAAATTTGTTTAGATCAATGTTGGAGGAAGTTGATCTTTTTGCCGGTCTTCCATATGATTATTTTTTTGAAAACCATTCAAAGATAGAAGCTGTAGCTTGATTGACATGATCATATGACAGCCAGCTGCGTCAAAGTTCAAGCATGTGCAACTCAAGTGATCTGATAATTTCCCTTTTCTTCCCATTTTTCGTGTCATTTAGGGCTATTTTGTGAGGTCTTGGACAATGATAGAAAACTTATAGTTTTCACTGAGATTAGTACATAATATTTCTTTTTTTTTTTCTCAAGTATAAAGATTTTTGATAACAGTGAGAGGAAACCGAAGGTTTCAGGGAAACTCCATCTTTGGTAACATGACTGTGTCTATTTGCAAACAAATAAAACGAAATTTCAATTTTACATCGATAGCGATTTGGACTTCGCCTTTAAGGGATCGGCACGGGCCTTTCCCGCTTTTAAAGGAAGGTAAACTCCGGTAATCAACTTTATTTGCATTGTAAAAAGAGCGGAACATGTTTTACCCATGTTTTCGATTTTACTATGACATACACGATTCAAAGCTTTATCAAAAGAGAAATATCTGACACCTTCAAGGATGACTACGAACTGTTTTTCTGAAAGGAACATTAAAAAGACAATATGTGATCAGTTCGAGAGCTGCCACGAAGGGGATATTCAAAAGGGTTGTATTTACTTCCGGTTTCTAATCCGGCCCGTCGACTTTCCTACATTTCCACTTTTTTGTCATTTTTCTTCGAAATTTTACTTCATTTCAGGACAGTTGAACTGCTTAGAACTAAAATCTACGGAAACCGAGCCCATTATTATGGTTTTCTCGCTCCATTTCAAGGGGAAAAAGCATTTTCTTTCTACGTAATTGAAAAGGGAAAGAAAACAGGAAGTACAGAATGACGTAGGTGACAACTATAGTAACGAAGGGATGTTTGTGAGAAGAATTTGTGTTTCGATATAATTCATTCTAACATCGGTTTTTAAGCCCAAGCTAAATGAATACAGCGAAGCCGTGGAATTTAATGAAGCGTAATGAATCTTAGCTTTCTCTGTTGTTTGTCATTTGGACATTTTCCTTTTTTGCGACGCGAAAAATTATCTCTTTTCGCCATATTGGTCTCCCGCAGAATATTTTGACTGAAGCGTGTGGTCGAATTTTTTTAAATACTTCGTCTGCAATCTGCCAAAATTTCTCACAGTTACAATGGTGTTTGTTTCTGACTCTAGCTAAGTTACCGAAGCGTCCTTTTTCTATTGGCGGCGGAGGCAAAATAGAAAATTACAAAGAAGATCAGACTCGTAAGAAATTGAAACGTTGTTATTGAGTACTAAATTCTCGCCACCTTCAATGACATCACTGTGACATCACGACGCCCTCCCAAAATGCAAATTCCCGAAGCATTTTCCTCACTCGAAGTTGAGCCACAAATAGCACGGCCATACACATTGTCAGGGCAGCTGTTGTGAAAAGGCATATTTACTGGTGGGTAAAAATAGATCTTTGAATTTTTATTTCCGTCTAACACCGAAGTATAAACAGCATAGATGCTACCAGTGCGATTTCGAACAGTTGTACTCGGCAAGCTTGGATTTATTTGCACGTTTTTATGAGTCCTTTTCTTGTTTTGACTGCCTTGTAAGGGTGGAAATTTTGTGCGTTTCGCTTGCATTTTTCCGCAATCATTCACAACCTAGTCTACCTCTAGCAAAACTTGTTATTTCTATACTGCTTCCGATCGTCCGCTTTTTCAGCCTTGGAATGATTTAGGTAAAATAATGGTTCCATCTTGTGCTTGCCAACGAGCATGATCCATATAGAACTGTCGTAAGCTTGCGCCATGACGAACAACTCTGGGATCGAATTTTTGCCATGATAATGCTGTCGTGAATTTTCATGTTACTCCAGTGGGCGATCCACCGTTAATGTTCGTTGTTTATCTTGTTGTGAGCTTACGATACTATCCAGTGAAAATGACAAAGTTGTCGTTATCTTCTGTAGATAAAAACTGGAATCGAAGCACAGGGCAAGCTTGTGTTTACCATCTTTTTCTTGCGTTCGTACAGCTGTCGAAGGTGGTCGTCCTCAGAAAATCGCCGCCGTGGTGTTTCATAGACTAAGAATTGATCGAACCATTTATATAATTGGGAAACAAGTCTCGTTTGAAAATTTCAGAATTTTGAACGAAGGAGCTTTTGAAATAAAGAGGAAAATGGCCTCAGCGCGGATGCAGATTTCACTTCGTTTTGGCGACACTTTTAGCTTGGGTCACAAAATTTTTCGACGAACGTCGGTGATTTCGCGCGTTGAACACATCCATTTGAAACTATTCGCCGATCGGCGTAAGCCTAAGTTCATTGACACCTAGCATTTCGCTAAGTTCTTGTTAGTGCATACTTTCGTTCGACACGAAGTAAAATGTTGGACGGAGACGTCATTTGGACCCTCGGAACAAGTAGCTTCAGCGAATGACAAAAACATTCATTTACAAGATGGCAGAATAGGCGAAAACAAAACTTCCAACCTTAGATGTTAGCTTTCTTGTTGATAAAACGGTACAACTTTGAAGACCAAAGGACGGTGTTTTTGTGTTCGTAGATCAAAAGTTCGTGAGGAATGCCTCCTCAGTGAGATCATTCGTTCTAAGCTACCCCGGCGAAAATCACTGATCGCAAACCTCATGACATCATTTCACGCAATGAACGATCGCTTCGAATTCCAACCAAGAAGTTCTGTTCGCCTCTAAGGTCATCTGGAAGAGAAATTTTGCTCGGGTAAAGAAAGGTGGATCGAATTGAGCAGCCCGCCATCATTCCCGAGACAGAATTTGTAAGACCATTGTAACATATCGTACTACACCAATAGCATAGCACAACTTCCCAAGATCTTGACGAGACAGCTAGCTGGTACATGTAAATGATTTAATGAACTCACTTTGTTGTTTTGAATCTGTTCATTTTACAGATCCATCGCATCAGACACAGCGATCAGACACAGTCGAATTTAAAACTGGCTGAAGGCCCCCTAACGAAACTCAAGTTGAGCGCGGCCATCCACAAGAATCACAGTATGGGAAGAAAGAAGATACAAATTTCAAGAATCGGCGACGAGAGAAATCGCCAGGTATGAAACAAGCAAACTCCGCACCAATTTGTGCAAACCGCGCGCTTTATTATTGTTCGACACAAATAGCAGTGGATTTGTGGCTTTTTTTGTCCGCGCGGGCGTCTTGCGATGCTAAATATATTGCACACTGAAGGTCGAAAATAGAAAAATCGGTTTGGGGTTAGAATTTCATTATAGCGCGGTATTTTTAGCTCGCGTAGGTCAATTTTGTTATATCTTAGGGCTTCGTAGTTCTTTTGTATCATTTAATATTAAAAGGAATGAGAAGTGAAGTTTTCTCTGCAATTGTGCAACTAGTGATAAAATGCACTGTACCGTATCACAGCACTGGGGTGTAATTGGGATCTACAAACACATTCATGGCAAAATTCCCGGTACCTGCAGACCCATCAACATTTCTCCTATAAAATGAACAAGAACGTCTTTTTTTTTTACAGCTCACACTCTGCCTAAAGAGTAATGAGTTGCTCCGCGAGTTTCTCCTACGTTTTTGAAGTTGAGCTGGCGGTATCGAAGGTTCCATCGTCGCGTGTTGCGAGATATTTTTGGTACATTGTTTGCCTTTGATTTTCAGGTTCATTTTAAATATCCCATTAACATTTCACGGCATTGTTGGCTTCATGAGGTGTTTGTTGACAAAAGTCATCTACATTGAGCTGGACATGCTAGTTCTTGACGAGTAATCTTTGTTCACTGTACAAGTCTTGCTTGAAACGTTCTTTGTTGTCTGTGTTTAGCGGCTGATGGAAGCACGCAGGAGATACATGTATGTTTCGAAACCGACTGTAATGTACATCTCGTGGAAATTTAATTTGCGATAAAATAGAACTTCTCTTTGTTTTTCTTACCACAAATGAATATTTGTAGTTAGTTTTTTCAACCGCGATCTCTTTTGTGATTTGCGATTTTAGCTTATGGTTATTTTGTTTCTTGTAATAACTTGCATGAGTGATTTATTCAAAAATAAGCTTTACAAATCAACATTACAATTCTTTGTGCATGTCTGTTTTGCTTAAATTTCTTCGCCTTTTTTTGATGGAACACAACAGAAGATAAAACACCAGTTTTGATGTCTGAAATTTTCGCTTAACGTAAATCGATATCTTTGATGTGATACCGTTCCCCAGTGTGTTCTAGAAGCATTCCAGAAATAAATTTAATCTTACATTGCATGATCACATTCTTTCTGAGGTTTATGTGTCGCTGTTGAAAGAAATTAAACTGTGTAATTCTTCCTCTTAATTTTTGTTTGCACTATTTGGAAGCTATTTTTTGTAATGTTGCAAAATTCCTGTAATTTTGTGATCCTTGTGGTTAAAACATGTCTTCAAAAGTAATTCCCTTATCATTTGATATACTGAAAAACATTTCAACAAGAAAATGAGCATACGAGTCTAATTTTAAAAAGGTCATTTTGCCCTTTTTTTTCTATGGTGTAGGGTAGAAGGTTTTGCTAGGTTTTTGGTTTTAAAATTAGCAGATGATTGCTTGTACATGAGGCCTCACGATCCATCTGAAGCAATGTCTTACTGATGGCTTGTGCGCATACCACCTGTACGGCTGTAGGCCAAGTCTGTAGACAGCTCACACTCACACTTTATCCGAGACAGATTCAAATCTGGGGTCGGCATGTTTTGGTAAAAAAGTTTTATGTGTTTAGAATTTGCCTTTGCTCTAAAACAAATTAAAAGTGGCTGAAAAGTCAGAGTAATAAAGCTTCTAGCCGTTAGCTACATGTAAATATGGTAGGAATTTTGTCATGGAGGTTTTTGTCAGGATTTGCTGAGTGAGAAGTCAGATGGGTTTCCATGTTTGAAATTTTTCAGCTCCACATTTGCTTTCTTGTGGTAGAATTACCAATTGTTTATTTAAAGACAAAAAATGTTGTTTTTGTGGTTAAGAATAATAATGTTTTATTTTGTTCAAACATATGGAGAGAAAACCATGTGATGGACAGAACCTTGGTTTCACTTAATGCCCCGGAGCTTGGCTGTGCTGTGGGCAATTATGTAACATGGTCACGAGTAGAGTCCCCCATTACAGCCCAAAAAGATTACTCATTCCCACAATCCTGACACTTTTTTGGACATTATTTTCAGAAGTTTCGTACAGGAAGTTTTGATTTCCTCAATCATCTTTACCTAGAGCAGGTAGAAGAAAATGGGTGGAGAAAAATGTGCATGAAATGATCAGTGCTGGAAAAATTAAATGCTTTTTCCTTATTTCTAAAATAAAATTCAGTCCACTTTGAAACAGCTTCCTAAACCCATCTATCATATATGTTAAACTGCCGAATTCGATATCCTGTCTTTTAGTCCTAAATGTTGCACCCTTTTTACTCTAAAATCTTGAATCTCTACCTTAACATGTCTTTACACGGGTCAAATCTTGGATCCTGAAAAATATATTATGTACCCTCAAGTGACTGTTCCATGAAAGGATCATAATTATCTGATAGCTTAGCTTAAATATGGAGTCATTATTTTGGTAAAATTTATCTATGATGACAGTACTGATGTGTAATCAAGTATCACAGACCTTCCAACTCTCACGGTTTGACCATCAGACTCATGGTTTGGGCAGTCAACTCATGATCCCTCGATTTAAAATTGCCAGACAATTCTGGTACGAACTGCGTAGTTTAAAAAAAAACCATCTTCATAATAGGCGAAAATTGTATCAATCTTATTTGGGGGGAAACCTGAGTCTAGTTCCAACCTCATTCCTGTAAAACATAGGTTTGCTAAGGTCTGTGGGAAAGCCCTTATAGCATACTCGCTTGGTTACTCACCGTCCTGTCGACCTGGATAGTAAAACAGAATCCTCCCATTACTGCCAAAAGAGCGACAAGACAGTACAACAGAGACCACTAATAGGGTAAAGAATACCGTGACAAAAATAATCAGCCTTTTTTATTTTATTTGATGCATATTTTGGAAATCCCCAGGTTTGAGGTCCCAATCTCCAGGTTTTTGGCAGCTTTTTTCAAACACTCCAAACTTGTATGATTTAGGGGTTGGAAGGTCTGAGTATCATATATATAGTATCATATACTGAGGAAACATTGTACTGCCATGTCATCCACAGTCATGTAATTTAAGTTATTTCACTTGATGCAGGTCACATTTACCAAACGTAAATTTGGATTAATGAAGAAGGCATATGAGCTGAGTATTTTGTGCGACTGTGAGATTGCACTGATTATTTTCAATTCTGGCAACAAGTTGTTCCAGTATGCTAGTACTGACATGGACAAGATTCTTCTGAAATACACAGAGTACAATGAACCACATGAGAGCAGGACCAACTCAGACATTGTGGAGGTATGCATCAATCAACCAGGTTGCTTTAAAGTTCTCTCATGGTTGATCTGGGCTGTCATATAAGAGGCAGAGGTGGGGGGGGGGGGGGGGGGGGGGTTTCATGTAGTAGTGTGGGGGGTGGTGTGGGGTGGTTATAGGGGAGGGGAGGTGGGGGGTGGGAGGGAGAGAGGGATTTCTCCCAGCTGCTATCAGCATGGCCCCTGGCTACTTTCATACAATGTAGGAAAATAGAAGAAAAATAGAAGCTAGAGAAACCCCTAGCTGTTTGATTCCCCGCCTTGTCTGTTGTATTTATTCGGCAACTTGAAATCTTGGTGACAGCCCTGGTTGACTCACTTGTACACTTGGCAAAGTGAAGGAATAATTTAGAAGTTTACCAGTGGTAGACAAAACACTGATTCCCAGTTCATGAATTACCCCCATGGACTACCCATATGGACTATCCTAAAATGGAATACACCACTGAAGTTTAGTGATATGTAGTCTTGGTCTAGTACATGCTAGCTACATGTATGGCTTGCCCAAATGGCAAGCTGTAAAACTAAATTTCTTTGCACCCTGTGTATACCCGTACTGTATATTATTGTTTTTTCCTCTACAAAATTCTTATTTTGGGGGGACAGTATAACGTTGATTTACATGAAAGGTTCTGCTCTAAGGAAAATGGAAGGGAGTCAGGTGCTCTGAACCTGTGAAATCCAGGGTGCCCAGCGTAAGATTTCTATGAAAAAACTATGTGTCACCTAACAACACTGCCAGAATACATGTACAAGTAACGATTTTCTTATTTTTTTTTTTTTTTTACCAACAGACCATTTCAAAGAAAGAAAACAAAGCATTGCCATCTCCTGATGACACAGATAAGGTGTGTGCTATCACTGTATATACACCGTATTTTTACTGTTAACCAGAAATATGTACAGGTGTGCATGTGTATAAATGCTGGTAAAGGTACTCTTGAATGGGAAATATTGTCTACTCTCAAGCTTCTATTGGGATCATCACATTTTTTTGTCAAGTCTACACTTTTATAAGTATAAAACATCATTTTACAAAAAAGAAAGATTGGCTCTCAGTCAGTTTGGCAAGCAGGAAGCTTTGTTTCCTGTGCTGGTCTGTTTCGTTTTGCATGAATGACAAGTTCTTAGAAGTGAGGCAAGAGAAAATTTATCAGAACAGGAGATCTTGCATAAGACTTATGCCAACAAAATGCATTTTTGGTTAAAAAACACTGGGCAAGACTGAAGGGCTTCCAAATATTTTTGCAATCAAAATTTAATACAGTAACAATGACTGTTCAACCATTATATGATTAGTGGAGGGCTTGTTCTTGATAAAAAAAAAGAAAAAAACTACCACTTAATTTCTGGATGAAAAAATGTCATGTTTTGGCTTAAAATGGTTTTTTTTCTCGCACCCTCAATAGCCCTCTTGCTCCGTTACATCAGGCTAGCTAGGCCAGTGAGCGTTGTTTGTAAACTAATTTATTGTGGTTGGACAGTTCGTTTTTGTAAGACTTCAAAAAATTTACAACCAGCAACATTAAAGGCTGGTGGAGAGATTTATCTGTTTGAAGAGAACATGCAAAGGGACTACTGTATTAATTTTTTCAAAAGATGAACAACAGACTCTTTGAAAAATAACATAAATGATTGTTCATCAGCTTGTTTTATTTCGTAAAGTGTATTTTTGTAATATTGACAAACACAAGCAGATTTCTTGGTTCAGCTGCTTGTCACATGTTTATTACATAATTTTGTAAAGTGACGTAGTTTTAATATCCAAACACGTTTTAAAAAGACCCTTTTTACAATGCTCTGTGTGCTTGAACATTGTACCTGATAGGAAAACAAATTATCTTGTGTTTATTTCTTTTAGAGTGCTAAAATACAGTTATGCATTTTATTTAATTTTGTTCTTAATGATTGAAAATATTTTCATTTCAAATTTAAACATAGCAAAATATTAATTGATTTTTATTTGCCATTTGTGTTTGAATTTATTGGTGAGAAATAATCCTTTTGACAAAAGTAATGTACATGTACATGTAGGCCTAAAGATCGATTTCCGTAGATTTTTTAAAAATTCATTAAAATATCTCTAGGAAAAAATGAGAATCCAAGAAAATGAAATGCTTACTATGTTTTGACTTAGAGATGGAAGTAATGTCTCATTAAGTGTGAATTATTTGAATACAATCTTCCTGTTTGAAGATCAACGAATATTCAAATGACGTCCATTATCAGTAAAGTTGCATAATATTTCCTTTTTCTGCCCACACAAGGCACGTGGACGTAAAGAGAATGAAACATATAGTGCATGTAAATTTATAATTCATAGATAACCTGGCAAAGACCAGAAAGTAGAGTAAATTCTTCAAATTAACCAGCTATAGTTTAGCTCTTTCAATGTTTGTTTATACTGCAGTGGCTCTTATGGGTTGACTCATTAGCTTGAGAAAACAGGTGACATTTCCTGGTGACACTACTGGTTTCCCCACACAATGACGTCTGAGGAACAACTGGAAAAATTTCATACCAAAGACAACATGTCACTGTGCTACCCAGATCTGGGAAGTGCTTCTGATTGGTTGAAGCAAATTTCCATTGTGGCACAACTAATTAGATCTAATTAGATCTGGTCAGTGAAGTCTCATCAATGTGGAATTTCTGTGCTTGTTCGTCAGATGTTATCTTGTTGGGGGTGGGGGGGGGGGGGGAGGGGAATTTTGGGCCGTTTTCTCCTGCTGTTTTTTTTTCGCCTTTTTTTTTGCGCTAACTTTTTTTGTGGAAAAATCCCCTTTATGGGTTGACTCATATCCTAATGAAAAAAATAAATTGAAAACATTTAACATAAGAAATGATTTTCTTAAACAAAACAAAGAGATTGACGTTAATGCCTTCCACCACAATGGAGTGTTCAAACGCACAAGAAATAATTTCAATGAAAAAATCAGATTTCACCTGTCACCCCGGTGTGGGGGTGTGGTGTGTGTGTGTTTAGAAAAATTTTGTGTTGTGAAAAAATTATTAAAGTGTTGGTGGTGTGTGTTGAGGTGTTGGTGTGGGTGGGGTTTTTTGTGGGTTTTTGTGGATTTTTGTTGTTGGGGGGGGGGGGGGGGGGGGGGGTAGTGAAATGTCGGCTGTTTTCTCCTGCTGTTTTTGTTTCGCCTGTTTTCTTGCGCTAACTTTGTTTGTAGGAAAATGCCCTCTATGGGTTGACTCATATGCTAATGAATAAAATTAATTGTAAACAGTTAACATCAGCAATGATTTGCCTGAACCAAAGACAGAGATTGACGTTTAAGAATTGCCATCACCTTAGGACTAAGAGTATATTTCTGGTGTGTTGAACACAGGTTTTTTTTTTTATTTCTGCAGCAATTTGTGCTTACTCCAAGGACAGAAGAAAAGTACAACAAAATTAACCAAGAGTTTGACCAGATGATGAAAAAGAATCTACTTCATCCAGTGAGTAGTTATCATTGCTTTCTGCATTGTCTCTTTTACCTTAGCCTCGTTATCAGCTGCTGTTTTCTCCACACTGTTCCTTGTACATCTCCCACCTTCCAGGAGAGGAGAAGTTGTGTAACATAAAATCAAGATCATTTTTTCAATGCAAAGAAGATCATCACAGCTTAAGACCCAACTTATGCCTGGGATGTGAACTGTAACCCTTGCAGTACTAGTACAGTGCTCAAACCAGTTGAGCTAGCCAGCAAGCCAATTGGAAGGTGGCCATTGAATTTGTTTGAAATATACCCAGAAAAGGTGAAGATGAAATGATAAATATATGAGACCTTTTTGTCAGTCATTTCCCCCATCCCTGTAACCATGTCATAACCTTTAGGGTAGTCTGCATAACAATAGTTAGAAACTGCAAGAAAAAAGTTAATTGACAAAATTTTGATATTCTGTAGCAGCAGTCTTCCTCTGGCTCGGACAATTATCACGCCCTCCCTGTCACAGTCCCCGTGTCGTCAAACAGTGTAGGAGAAGATGGCTATGGCAGCCGGCCGCAAAGTAGGGACAGTACAGTGATGAGCAATACCATGCCAGTCAGCGCAAGTGGAAGGATCACAGGTGATCACATGAATGGAAACTATTCTCGCGGAAGCACCCCTGGAATTTCAGGTACAATAGTTATTAGGTACTATTCTGTGTAGATACATGTATATCAAGTTAAAAGACAATGACAATCAATCACGATCATGACAATGACTATGGTGAAGGGCTAGTGTCACTTAAAAGTTGTGTTCAAATTCTTTCAATCTTTATTGTGGAGGTTCCAATTGGCTAAATTTGACTAATCGGTAAATTCTCCTGGAAATGAAGTCTTAAGGGCTGTATAGCTTATCTGAGGTTGAAATTAGAGTGTGAAGCAAGGCTTGTTATGTTTATGCCCTCGAAGTGTAAAACATGGCATCAGGAGTTTGAAGTCATGCAGAGGGTGTATTAATGAGTGTGATGCACATGAATACACTGTGAGTTGATGTCCCCATAATATATCAGTGAGCTACATGTATGAGGATTCTGAGGTGTGTAATCTGTGCAATCTGTGAAGGAAAATGGCATTCTACATGTAGAAATGAAGAAATATCACCATTGTTTAGAAAGTTAAAAAAAAAATGGTTGGAGCCACCACTGTATGTAACCATTCTGAGACTAGTACATCTACATGTATTTTAGTTTGAGGATTTTGTTTTCACCTCAAAGCTAAGCTAAGGAACATTGCTTGTCAGCTAGGCAAGTTCGGTGTGTTAATTGAATTTAAAAAGTATGTTCCATAATAAAAACTTAAGTCGATAAAGATTATATGTACTGATAGGTTGAAAGATCATTTTACCAAATTTTCTCCTCATCAGTTTGTTAAGAGCCAAACCCAACCAAACCTCTTTCAAAACACATACATTATTCACAATCATACCGTTTAGTCTGTTGTCCTGTTGTGGTTTTCAGAAAGCCAAACCTAGCTGCAGTAAAATAATCACTGAAATTGAAAATAGCTGTAGTCTATCATGGAAAAGAAAACTAGGACAGAGTTTCTTGTTTTGTTTTTCAAAATTTCCTGTCAGGGCTTTGCCTGGCGAGTTGTTAGAGCTTGCCTGAATGAACCACTATTAATACAAATGCTTTTTGCATTTCAGACTTGTTGTTCCCCACTTCTCCCCAAAGCTGATACCATATAAAGGATTGCGTTACTTTGATTGGTTTTCATTTTAATGATGTTGCAAGCTTTTAACAATTGCCTAAATAAAAATAAATAAATTGTATAATACCTGTCGGTACCTTGGTACTTTGAACAGAGACAGAATAATGACAAGTTAAGTTAATTTGACCTTAAAAAGTGCAAGAGCTACTAAGTTTTGTTCAATTACAAATGTAACAGTTTTTGTTTTCACTTCTAATGACAGTGCTCAGTGTTACAAGTAACTGGTAAACACTCAAGGTTGTCTTTATCTTTGTTGAATTTTCACTCATAAACAACTAAACCTGCAAAGTTCTAAATCAGATGAGACTTTGTTTTAGTTTAACTGATGATTTATTTTTAGTTTAGTCAAAAAAGTTTTCTTTGTTACCAAAGAAGTTTAAGACTTCACCACAGTAAGCATTTATAAAAGAAATAAAAGAAATAAAATAAAATAAAGTTTACCATTTGCGTGCTGCTACAATCATGCAGAGGTTCACCTAATAATGCTAAATGGTTATAAAATTGATGTTATAAGTTGAATGCTGCTTTAAAGAGTGAATCTTAAATTTCAATTTTGACTACTTTGCTTCAAGTAGGAACATTTTGATTTAAACAGTTTAAGCCATGTTATTCATTCTATTAATTTTGTTTCTAAGTAACGTAATATTGAAACAGCATTAATTTAGTGTTTCCCATGAAAAACTGTCTCTATGTTTATTGTGCAATATTATTTTGTGTTGTACATTTAAAACTGTATTTTAGCTTAAACTTTCAGGGAGCTTAAATGATGATTCTGTACACAGTGTCAGGCATTTTTCTTTTTCAAATAAACATATAACTCAGTTTAATGTAATGTATATGTAGCTTGATGTTGAAATAAACGGTAGTTGTTGTTGTAACTACAGATTGTGTGTCAGTTATTGCTGTTTCAGTGTAAGCTTGAACTGAAATACATGTAAATCCAAAATAATCATGTTTTTGAAGATGATTTATATCCTTCATGCTCAGTTAATTAAACTCCTTCAGTTGACATACATCTGTATCAATGTTTTATTTCACTGGACCCTGATAAAAAGACTTTTGATATCTTTGTAAATATGTTGCATATTACAGCAAGTGGTATTTTTTGAAGAAATTTTGGTGCCTTTTTACTGTTTCTGTTAAAAAATAAGGTTATTTACATGGTGGCTCCAACTTTTTAAATTTTAGATAAACAATGCTACATTACCTCAAAATACCAGCAACAAATAAAGCTTTGCAAAAATTAAAAATATATCATGCCAAGAATTGTTGATAATATTTCCTTACTGCAACACCTGTTAAACCACAAGACAAATCTGAGAGACAGAAACCATGCCATACAAGCCCAGCCATTTAATTAATGTGTGATACAGTAACGACACCATGGTAACATTAAAATTGATTTTGTGTTATCCAGGAAATACACAAAACATGTCTGACCTCGTTGCGGCAGCAGGGCTAGGTAGAAGGAGTGTCACCCCTGGATCTGTTCAAGGAAACGATGGTTCATTTGCCTCGCCTTCTCCAGGGATAACAAACACTGGACGGAATTCTGTGTCACCACACCCGCCAGCTGTCACCCCTCCACCTAACAGACCACCATTAAAGATTAGCATTCCAAGCCGAGGCCCCAATGCTGGACAGATGGTAAGCGACATTGATTTATTTAGGAATGCAATTTAATGTAATGCTTAACATTATTAACGTTGTTTCATGACGTGTAATCAAATTTGACCTGTAACATCTACCTTTTTATAGGAAATTAATGTTCCATGTAATTAAGGTATTAGAAATTAATGCAACTTAACTTAACACAAATTCAATGGAAGATGACTTTCAAAGAAACGGAATTAATGCAAAAGAGGGGGAAGCATTTCACATTGAAGGATATGCAACGTTCAGAAAGAAACAAAACTTGTTGAGACAACTGGAGCAAAGTTAAACATATAATACGAAATGGAAACTTTGTTTGTGCTACTTTCCCTAAACATACCAAGGAGGGCAAGCTAAGAAATCTGGCCTCTGACAGGATTCTTCACAGTTTCAATGATCTGGCTGATGCCCACCCTGATAAAATGCTGCTTCTTTCTTAACAAAATGTCGATAGTGTATTGAGAATTTGCAGGAGCCAAAATAATGGAAACTAAGGTCGCAGAAATTACTGCTCCACGTAATAAATGGTGCTGCAGTTAATGCATGTTTACAAACATTAATGCAAATTTTTTAAATTCACATTAATTTCACAAAGCATAAATTTTCTGAATTAAGGTAGCAATAAACAGTCCATTTATTCTAACATAAATCATTGTTTACCATTGCTTTTTAGCAACCTAATCGCCATGGGTTGACAGTTGCATCATCTCAAGAAAATCAACCTTTGTCTACCCCGGTGATTTCATTAAACTCCTTACCACTACAGACCCCTGGTGATAACAACTCGCTCTCGACACCGATCTTTTCGATGGCAACACCCAATCTTGCTGGAGCAGCACCTCCCACATTCTCCTCTGCCTTGCCGTCGGGCTTTCCACCTGACTTCCATCTTGAAAGCACTGAGTCCCTGGCACAGAAATTGGCACAGTATCCAGCGGCCACGGCATTACCTCTCATGCAACAGCAAGCTCTACTCCAGCAACAGCTAAATATGCATGGATTACTGCAAGGGTAAGAAGTCCCTATAGTATTAGTGAACTTACGCAACAAGACAGGTGAGGAAACAAGATGGCAAACCTTATGTGACAAGCGTGAAAATTAATTTTGTTTAAAAAACTTTAAACCAAACTTCAACTTCCTTTAAACGGATATTTTCGTAAAAGGCCAGAAACGTTAATGTTAAGTGAAGATCAAAACAAAACATGCATCTTGTAGCCCTGTCACGTTTGACCCACACAAAATTAATGTTATGTTGTCGTCTTCTTGCCATCCTGTTGCGTAAACTTGCTATCATTGATATACATCTCTTTTTGCAGAGGTACTTCTGGAGTTGAAAAAAGTGGTGAAAAGCCTGGGAATCTTTTTATTTCTTTGTTTCCCACCAACTCTTTGATTGCTTTGGTATCTCAAATTAAAAGGAACAACTTTTTATTAGACAGGGTTGTTTTGAGTTTAAGTTTGATTTGTTTTGTTTTTTGGAGAGAACAAAACAGTATGAAATGTGTGTCAGTTATTGCTGTTTCAAGTGTTAGCTTGAACTGAAATAAATCCAAAATAATTATGTTTGAACCCAAAAACGACCTGAAAATTTTGCCTTCTATGCATACCCTGACTCCAGAAGCTACCGGTAATATTTAGCACTAAACAGAAGGCAGCACTGTGTTCAATACACTCATAAAAATGGCATTTTGGGCAGTTTTGGTCCTTTTTACCCTGACAGTCACCAGAAAACAGCTCAACCAGCTTCTAAAAATGTTTTTTGGCAAAAATCCAGGTACAAATGGGTTAAATGTTTCATTTCATCACTGATTTCTTTTTTCTCGCTTAGGAATGTTGCCAATTTACTTGGGAATCGCCTTTCCGTTCCCAATGCTGCTTTGGGTGGACAAGGAATGTCATCACTGAACATTAAAGCTGAACCTACTGACCGGGACACTTCGTCGCCAAATTCACACTCTTCAATTTCCCCCACATCCCCGTACCAAGTTCAACGGCGGCTTACACCCAGCAGAGATGACGTCGATAAAGATGGAGCTGTGAAGCGCCCCCGGTTGGATGGCAGCGTTGCGGCCGCCTATGGTTTGCGCTGAATGAGAGCTCCTTGTCTAATATTTTTTTAGTAGTAGTCTATTTTAGGTTTATGTCTTGTCTTTAAGAACTAACCATGAAATAAGTGATGCTGGCATCATATGCTGTGCTTCAAGGCTGTTAGAAACTTGCATTAATATCATTGTTTTTTTTATAAATACTATCATAATTCAAAGCTAGAATTAAAACAGATTCAAATTGCCAAAACAATTGCAATTTAAAGAAAATAGCAGTTGCATATGTGTATGCTGCCTTATTTTATAGTGCAGACATAGGATTAACTATGCCAAAAACAACTCTAGTAGTTTTTAAATTGCGTAGAATGCATTTACAGCAAGAATTTTTGCATCATAAAAAAGATGTAAATTGAACTTCTCCTTTGTTTTAAGATGTAAAGTCGTTATTTTATAATGTGAAGGTCTGTAGTGGTCTGATATTTATTGCCAGTGAATAGACTTGCTGCTGTTGTTTTGTTGTTGGTAAAGATGTTTTAACTTAAATCAAGAGTTTGAACTTTTTCATTCTTTTCCAGAATACTTACACAATTTTACGAGCAACTTTCTCAAACAGCCTTGGAATACATTATTGTATTGGTCTGTTATTTGTATTTTCATCAGTCCTTGTAAATAGCAATATTGAAAATTACATATATTCATCAAATATAAATTACTCCAGAAAAGTAGACATTTAATAACAAGAACAGTTATGTAATATTAGTCCCAACTAAAAGAAACCATCATTTGGCAAATGAAAATAATAGTAAAGTTGTTTAATTTTGGGAATAGCCTTTTTTAAAAAAACTAGAACTAGACTGAATGGCTTGTGGTATACCAGTGTAATAATTATGCATTATTAGTTTGCTATGGGTTTGTTGTGCGCCGATTATATGGAGAAACCTTGTCCTGGGTAGAACCCGAGCGATCCTACAAAAAAGGCAAACCTTTAACTTGAGAAACTAAAGTTTGCTCTGCTAAAAGGGTGACCCGCCTAGCCAGGTCATACTTTTATAATGGTAGGGTCTCTGGGCCAACTTTTTGCCATATAAACACTTTGGCTCGCCCAGCTGAATCAACTCGGTCAACGCGAGACAATCACAGTATGCACAAGTGCTGCTTTAGACGATGGGAGCATGTGCGAGCCCCGTTGGCTCGTGCAAAGGGGTAAATTTGTTCTCATTTTAAAAACTCGCTAAATCTGACGTGGCTGGGAGGGTCATCCTTATTCCCAGGAAAAGTCTTCTCTATATAAACGGCGCGTTGGTGCATGTATAATTTGGCACGTAACATTACATTGCATTACGCATTAACCATATGAATTTCTTTGAAGGTAAAGTTCTTGTGTAGTGTAGTAGAACTCTACAAGAGTATTGTAGATTGTCAACATTGGTTGATTTTTCGTGCATGGTCTTAATTTGGGGCCTTCTTTGTATTTATGTGATGGTGTGAAGTATTCCTTCATGAGAAAAATGTGATTGACGTAAAATAAGATTGGCTGTCTGGCAGTTGACTTTTAAGGAATGTTTGCTATAATACATGTATTTCGTGTTTAAGACGGGAACAAGATTTTCAGACTTTTTTTTACTTTTCTTAGCTTTGCTAACAATTTTCTTCACCTTTTATTTATATGTCTTTTCTTTGATCTTTGGCAAAAGCGAATTCAAATACTAAGCTTTTCTATTAATTTTTTATTGCAGTTTAAAGAAAAAGCATTTTTTTTAAGGGTATTTGATCTTACGTAGAAATGCATTACTCAGACCAATATCTTTTCAGTCAACTGCATGAAGTCAACTTAGTCTGCGGACCAATACAGCAGACGGAAAATATTAGTATCAGTGTGCAAAGAAAGAAGTGTTCGATAGCCCAAGGCTAGTGGATTTCTGTTCAAAGTGAAGTTGTTTGGAGAATGTAAATTACAGAAGAGCTGTAATCAATCCTGCTTATTAAAAACGTTTTTGAAATGACTTTTGGGCTAGTACACGGTAGCCAGGCTTGCCATTGTAAAACTGAATTTCTTTGCACCCATGTAGTTACTCATTACGAGTGTTGTACTGTCGCTTTCTTTTCTTTTTTGCCACACTTCTTTGCGCACATTTCTATGGGCAGGACCCTTTGTTTTATGCGTGTTGGTTTGGAAACTTGTTTTCGCCGAGCCTTTAGCGGTAAACGCATTTTTTGATACTACTCTAGAAGTGTCATCAATCTGTCGGGCAAGCGTAATTCCGTAAATTGGAGTGAAGCGTGTTATTAAAGCAGTAGTGAGTTAACTAATATTGCTTATAAGCTAGTATCAACCTACCAACAAGCTTTTTTTGTCACCTTTGTTCATTTTTTTTTCAAGATTTGAAGACCTTGTACGTCACAGGTACATGTCATTGATGGTGCTTTTAACAGAGTACAGCGAGCTTAGAAATGTCAGTTTGGAAACGCATTTTATGAAAGTGTGCGAATTTTGTAATCGGCGAAACGTATGTTATTCTTTTTTGTAAAGATTATAATTTTAGTTGCTCATACGTTCCTAAAAATTAAATTTTAGAACGGTGAAGAATGTGTTGATTTTGTTGTCTGGTACGAAAATAATCTTGACCGGGGCATCTCGGGCTCTCTCAAACTTTCCATTGATCTTCCTATCAGTTTGATTTACTTACGCGTCTACCTCACCCGTCCCTCCCCTCCCTGCGCCCCTTCAGCGTCTTAAAATTACCTCTTGAGGACCTTGCAGTGGCGGATCCAGGGGGGAGCCCCACCTCTCTTATTTTAAGACCAAACTGAGGCCCGAAGGGCCAAAAAAAATTTTTTTGGAGTCCCCCCTTCTTCTAATCGAGAGATTATAACCTTGGAAATTTCAGAGCTTCTGACAAGTACTGTTACAAGCAACAGATCCTTAAAAAATTGCCTGAATTTTAATAGGATATTTCAGAGGAAAGTATAGCAAATGAACTATTAACTCAAGACACGAGAGAATATAAAGAAGCCATGTTAATCCGACCAATCCTCTTCATCGTCATCATCCCAGTCATCATCTTCATCATCGGAATCATCTTCGTCTAGAAGAAAAACCAAGGGTTACTGATGTATCACTGTTCTAGCACTGAGCAACTGACTCGTCCGAGGTCGTCTTTACTTAGGGTGCTTACAATTTTCACAAACCACCCGGGTGAATTATGCATTGTTATTAGACGTGGTGGGAGAACGACCCGCTGCAGAGTATATTCAAATCAGTTCAACAAACTAAAAAGAGTAGAAAAATTGCATCGCCTCTTTTTCTGATGCTTCCCAAAACCCATTCGATTTTCCAGCCGGGATTTCCGGTTTTCTCAAGTAAATGTTAAGTACCCTAAGTCTTCTATTAGTACCGTTAGTATTAACGAGAGAAGCGCCGTGAAGGGGAGCGCGAGGGGTGATGGGTAGGAGGAAAGAGGGGAGATTCCGTTTCGCTTTTCTCCTTCCCATCACCCCTCGCGCTCACTTCGGCCACGCTTCTCGCGTTGTTAGCTACGGGTCACTGATAACAGCGAGATGACACAAGTAGACTATCCAAAGATGATCCTTTAGGCCCAGTCTACCACTGACTACAAACATATACAAACCCTACATGACTTACTATTCTGATTTACAAACGTCGACCAGAAGAAGAACCGGCCAATTGGGGGGGGGGGGGGGGGGCGGGGGAGGGGATGACATTTTTTTGTTTTATATGTCGTTTCCTGAGGGGGGTGGTGTTCTGAATTCTACATCAAATAAGGATCTTTTTTGTGTCGCTCTAAAATACTTGCGAAAATCTTCCCCCTATCTCCTTAACCTCTTTTTTGCTCTTGTGAGTCGTGTTTTTCTCACTCTAAAAAGGGAATGTGGGCAACAATTCAAGTATTCCCACTGTTAACACGCCTCTCCATCACCTCAACAAACCACATGGAAAATCTAAGTAGGGTGCACATTTCAGATAAACAACCAACATCAACAGAATC